ATCACGGGAGAATATCAAGGGATTACTTACACTAAGTCCATGAGAAGTAGCTTATCCACAGAAATTTTTTGTGTGCTCCAGGAACCGTCGCCAGTGTTCACATAACTGTAATGTATAAATAATTAATATTAATACAAAGCAGATGAATATATTTTGTCTTTGAAGCGATCTGACTAGTTGTCTTTTTTTCGCCAAATTTGTTTGGATAGGGACACCGAGATCCTCGACGGGGCTTGTTGTGCCAGATTTCTGACTGAATGCTGCAGTTGCTGCCACCTCCTTTATCTTTGATAGACTGCCATTATATTCTGTCTGGAGCCCACTCTCGATTTCTACACACTAAGATTTCTTTAAAAAGAATAACCTGTTTGCACGATGATGAACAATTGGATGAGGATAATGCTGGTGACGATGCAGTCGCTGGTTGCTGTGGATGCATAGTTGACCAGAACTACGAGATAATGTTAGATTTGTTGAATGGACATAAAAAAAGACGTTTTATGAAGCACTACTAAAAGTTTTTTTCCGTCTTGAACGTTCACCCATATGAATATCTTGAACGTTATGTTTTCGTATTGTCTTTCAGGTCACTAATCACCAAAGCAACTGGCTCGTATTTTTAGAGGGCTTTTAAATTTTTTTCATCTGTGACATACGACAGCCTGGTTTTCCTTTTGATCACAGATTTATTTTGACTGATCTAAGCGCTTAAGCCAAGATGTCCTCATACCCATGTTGGTATCATCTACGTGGCTCAGTTACTTGAAGGAGATGGCGAGAAGACGGGGGACCGTAGAACTAAAAAAATATATTTCAGGAGCTCTTTGGTAGCACATTCCGATAATCAGGTGACGAATGAACGACTCACCGTATAGCAGTCAAATATTCCACCTTGTACCGATGGATGCCTGGATTAGCTAGCTGTAAATGGTCACAGATGCTATTTTTAGCAAATATGTGGGGGTTATCTTTCACAGAATCAAGAGCCGAGTGACTGAAAACTATTGACGTGCTGTAATATCTTCGTAAACTACAGCTCAATGCAGTGTGTGGGGAATGCGTTCAACGTATGTGATTGTCTTTGGCGTCAGAAAAAAATTTAGCACATGGTTTATTTTGCAGCTGAGAAAATTAATAGTCCTTTTGGCAAACATGTATCATACTGGACAAAAGTGATCTCAGCCCCGATTACAGCTTTTATTGTTGGCCCGGGGTTATATTGCTACACACACCTCTCGCATTTTGTCTGCAAATGAAAGGTGCAGAGACAGCGTCGACCGGTAGGAGTTTTAACATTGTTCAGAAAATGACAAGAACGATACCTTAATTCAAAATAAGCGGACTCTTCTGGGCTTGATTTAAATGAGTATCACTATGAAATAAGTTACGCAAGAGCCTTAGTTATCTCCGCTAACAGGAGAACCAAATGAATCTCAGTTGAAGTTTTCGTTGACGATATTCTTAGGTTGTCTGCTGCACAAACCCCGTCAGTTAGTACGATATTCGAAGTATCAAAGTGTGCATCCGCTACTTATGGGGTTATCGAAAATGTTTAGACAACCCGCTACCGGTTTCGCAAATCTTCGCAAATCTCAGGGTAGGCGCAATCTCCGATTTTTCGTCAATATTGTGTTCCAATTGAAAGCCTAATTGTACGCATTGAGTGACCTATACTTATTTTTAAGTGTCATTGGTGTCAACAAGGACCAAAATTATGGCAGCTAAATCCACAATTTATGATTTTTTTCCTAGTGTGTGATATTACTACGGTGTGAGGAATTCATGAAGAGACAGTTGGCACGATCAGATGTTCGGTATGTCAACTCAAGACGATAATGCACCTGCAAAACTTTCAGCCCAAATATCTCACTATCGACCACAGAAGTGTCCAGAAATGGGATCGATTACGGAAAAAGTTGCGGGTGATATTATCTGGAGTATAGCCCTTTCCAAATGAATTCAGTAAACCCAAATCCATAGGTACAATTCAGTAATGACTTCTTGAAAAGTTTGACGTACCAGGAAGATGTTTAAAGAAAGCAGTGTTTTTATTGATTGCACAAGGGGTTGATCACAAGATGTTGATCGTAAATTATAAAGCTTGACGAGAGAAAAAGTATTTGTGAAGCATGCACCTTATGGCCACCAGGAGGTCCCTCTCAGTGACTACAACTTTTCCCCTGCTTGACGGAATCTGATTCTGGGTAGTAATCAACCCCATGACCCGTTAGTTGTGAAAAACTATCCAACAGAATAAACCTAATAGCATCAATAATTCCGGTGGTGGGTAAGTCATGTAAACTTTCCATGGGTTCCTTCAACTCGTTCAAAAGTTAATTAGTCATTTGTACTTGCATGGGCGCGTATATGAGATATTCCATTAGATTTTCTCCATAAAGTGTCTTGTAATTCGATATACAATGGAAATCCATTGCATTTTTCCTGGAACTCCAATGTGGTTGGGGTAGAAATCTTTAAGACAACACTGCGAACAGATTGGTGCTAAAATTTCAGGGGTCATGTCCTTCTCTATCGTAAGAGTGGGGCTGCAAAAGTCAAGCGATTCAAACCTGTATTGCATGACTTCGTTCTCTATGAAAGCGCGTACCTGCATTTTCAAACCATAACTTTAGCCTAGACTGGTATGTTCAGATAAACTTGACGCATATATTGGCAAATTTTCGGTATCATGTGGCAAGCAGTTATACGTCGGATTACCCGTAGCTGAGTATAATATATACAACTCTGCTGTATGCATTCGATGCTACTGATTTATGTTATTTACCGTTAAAAATAACCACCTATATTTGTTGGCCACAAAAATTCCAGACAAACGCCGATTCAACAGAGCTTAGCGGAAAGCTAGTGTTTTCCGGGACAGTAGTTGGCTGAATTCATAAGTAAGCGTATTACTGGATTGTGCACCTTATAATGGAACACCTTGTACCGATGAGCTTTTTATCTGTTAAAGTTCAAATAATGTCTAACGAAGAAATGACTGTCACTAGGATGAATGTCAATGAGACATCTTAAAAACTACTTTCTAAAGATGTATCCCCTGTGATTGTAAGCACCAAAGATATTGCAATAAACCGTCGCATGATATACTTATCACCAATCCCAGTCAATGCCGCGTACATGAGTGATCTAGATTTATGAAGGTAATGGCTGTCCATGACGGGCTACTTGCAGACTTTGTTCTATTACCTGTTGCCTTCAGTGTATAACAGATATTCACCTGTCTATAATGTCATGTGTCTATAACAGTGTCACCTCACTGCCCGGAAATCAAAAGGACCACTGCTGCTGTTTGTTTATCAGTCCGTGTAATACTATGGTCCCCAATGACTCATCCTATTCCACGTCCTTAGCAGAAAAACAGAATCTGACAAGGTATCTCTAGCTTCTCAGCAAAATCTTGCAAACTCATTTTTTGCGAATCACCAAACGGATTTTGATAACCAGGAGAAGACAAGACGCACATCAAACGGCTCAAACACTAGTGTTGGTCCATTGTAACAATGGTCATCGGCGTAAAGTGCATTTATTTGACACTTAACCTATGCAGAACGAAATGAATATCAGATTATCCATATCTAAGTTCGCGGGCGCTTTGTGAATTAAACAGTTTGGATAAGTAATTTGGAAAAGTTCTTTTGGGAAAAATTATTGTCGAACGTTTCGGTCAAACTGGACAACCCTTTGTGAGACCCAATTAGGACCAGAACCACACTGGTGTGCATTGACCTCTTCGTATGCCTCCGCAGCCCATTAGTATCGATAGACATCTAACCACTTTGGTGGCAACGAACACTGAGTTACAACAAACAACAATGAACGGATGTATAAGAAAGTTTTTGTCCAAATTTTCCGTGTGACCTCTAAAACGGTCCCACAAAATACACAGCTTTTGTTCAGTTAGGCGTCTGACAGAGACATTCGAAGCCAAACCACCATTTGGTGCGTCGTCTAGCAGATGGAAAAAAAAAGCGGAATCAGACTAATTGTTGCTTGCAAGAAGGTCCAACAACTCCGAAACATGAAAATAGTTGAATTAATCTTAAAACAAGCTGCCTTAATCCAGTGACGTGGACGCATTTAGTAAACTTTGCTCTGAAGAACTTTTATGGGTACCCAAGTACGCTGAAATTTTCCCGCCAGCGGCTTCTAGCCCCGATTGGATGTGTGGTCGTCTATAAAACATGCGGTGATATTTTAGTGCAAACCAAAGAAGTGTGTTCGTCTTTCAAAAAGGATATGAATTTTTCACCTAATTATTGAGTTTCGGAAGGACAAATTCTGTTTTTAGGCAATTATTGCAAATTTATTGTCTCATTCCCGGTCAGCTGGAGCGGGTCATTGAAGAAACAATAGAGTCAGTGTTAGACAAGATGCTCGCAGATCGTGCGGCCGAATATAAACTTTCAACTTATCACGTCAAGTCACTCATAAAGTTCACGCTTATATAAAGCAACACAGTAAGCCGAGTTTGGCTTCCCAAGTGTGTGTTTGTCCGTCTAATTAGCAGCTTCAAATCAGTATATTCCTACCTTAACCACGCTTCCCAACCAATGCATCTGTGAGCGTACACGTCCAGTTTCTATTTCAGATGAGAGAAATGGGTAACACATTCGAGATCAAATCAGACAATCTCGGAAACTGCCACACCTTTCTTGATCCATTGGGATCTTTTTCTCAACATTCGGAATATCTTTGGCGTTAAAAACGCTCGTCTCACATAAAACACTTGGTTTCTTTTGGCTTATTTCATTTAAGCCCACTTAGTGCAGTTTAAATAAGTGCTATCAAGTTTGTGCTCAGGACTCAAGAAACGAAGCTTATCTTTATTTATTTATTGATTTATTTGTTATTATTTATTTTTATTATTTATTTTTATTATCATTGATATTTATTATTATTTATTTTTACCATTATTTATTATTATATTTAAAAAGAAAGCTGTGTGTAAAACAACTGTTTTACTTTCAAAGAATGATCAGTGAAAACACCAGTACTACGAGCATGTCTTCAATCTAATTAACTCTTCCCAGTTGTGTCAAAATAAATTCAATAGGGATGTATTCATCTTAGGACAAGAAAGCACATCAGTGTGTTCCAAACTAGACCACGCTCGTAACCACCGAATATTGATAGTGTTCAACTGTGTTGCTAGAGCCCAAATGGCCTTGTGGGTCCGGATAGCTGAGTTGAGCGTCCTTCATAATGTTAAGCTCTACCTGACTTGGTGCAGGTTTTGAACAGGAGAAACAGGAGAGTGCATTTATAAGTCCATTCCGAAATCTAGGATAAAGAATGCAGGGGTGTAAATGTAACTGAGGCGATTATTGAATTGAATCTGAGATTACAAGCGTCTTAAATCAACATCTAGATATCACAGTTCCAAACAACAACCGAACGTGTTACGTGCGCAGGTTGGTCTCATTGCTTCTTCACTCATAGGCTGTTCACCCACCCCGTTCCCGTGTTTTTTATGGGTACTCTAAAGCCTAAATTTTAGTGTACACGGATACGTTAGATTTATCGCCCTGTCACACGGTGACCTATTCGTTAGTCTTCCGGGCACGTAGTAAAGAGGGAGGTTTGTCTCTTCGGATAATCCCGGGTTGTCCAAACTAATTCCCCAGAACATTCTTTTCAAACTTGCTGGATGTTAGTCAACGTGAGACTGCCGAAATGTCAAGAATAAGTCGTTATTAGTCACAACACATTGAGAATAAAAAAGACTGTAACAGCCAAAATGAAAGGTAGCTGAAAATTATCCAGCTAATTGCAACTATACATAATTAGGCGTATAATAAAACAGGACAATGCTTCACACTCACGTTTCCCTGGAGTAGACCAAACAACTGGAATAAGGTATGATGACCTATCCTGATAGAAGAAAAGGAACCAAGAATGGAACGTCACTGAAGGAACACTATTCATTGGGTTGCCGAAAGATCTTCCACAATTCGTGACGGGTTTCATCCTTCTTGGGGCTCATCAGGTAACCGTAGTCTTAATTTTTCGTCAACCTTATGCGTTAGTTGGACCCATATAGTAAGTAAGCTGCCAAATGCACTAGTTTCAAAAGTGGTTTAGTTTTGACGGAGGATTCAACTAAATTCCACGTTGATGTCTCGTTCAAAATGCTTTCCATTTTATTAAAGCTACCCAAGCCGACCCTATTTTTGTTGTTTCGGCGGAAGTTCTCTTCTTTCAATTCATCTACTAAGACGTTTCACAAAAGCTTTTGTGCATAGCAAACCACATTTTGATATTGTCCACAAAAGTATCGGTCTGTATTGATGCAATGTAGCTGGGAATCTTAATGCTGGTGTGGACAACACTGTCTTTTTTTCATGTAAGCAGCGAGGGGATGAAGAGGAAGGCGTGAAAATCACTGAACGGTGTGTACACCATCCTAAGGGGTAGACCACACACCAAGTCGTTATTTGTGATCTTTCTTCTCAGCGGCCCTGTACACCATAATACATGCGGAATTATGCCAAGCCAGACACACGTCCAAATTTTCTGGCTAATTTGCTACTCACCTGCGGTTCATTGTAAAGTAGATAATTGGGTTGTAGATAGCGTTGCTCATCGCCAGCCAATAACAAGCTATAAAGATGGCAAACGCCGGTGGTGATCTTTTAAACTCTGGTTTCACTCGGAGGATGATGAAAAACACTTGATACGGGAACCAGCAAATGGCAAAAATGCACATCATAGCGCACATCATTTTGACGGCCTATAAAGGAGAGAAAAAATGTGAGAATTAATTGAAAACTGCCTTTGGAAACATCGTGGCTGTGTGAGCGTTGCTGATGGATCCCAGTGCAGCACAGAAAACAGTATAAAGAGGGGAATGGGTATCAAGTTCCACTTGTGTCTCCTATCAAGACGGGCTTAATTGCAAATGACCGCATTTCACCAATTGATAATAGTGATGTTTTTTTAATCGTTCTATGCCTTAAATGCAGAGAACATTGCATCAAATAATTAGAAACGAATTAAGATTACGTATAAAATGGAAATTTGGTTAAAACGCCAAACAGCCATTTACCACATTTAACTAGTTAGGCACTGTTTCTTGTGATTGAGTCCATATTTTTCAGCTCAATAAGATTTTAAAAAAAGTAAATTGATCAAATTCACATTCTTTCGGGTACTGTTTATGGTTTACAACCTTACAACTGATATTTTAATAACAAAAGGAAACTGAGGCCGCCAGCCCAATGTACTTTATTAAGAACATCACCACAAACAATATTTCACTTTGTTTGCCAGCAGTCTGACAGTTTCCGTCGGTGCAAAGATGAGAAATTAGATTTCCTCCTGCAAACAAATGTAGTGCATGCCAAAAATACAAAAATCATTCTACAAATTCCAAATTTGTTTGCCGTAGAACGCTTTTCGGTTGATGGATGAAGTAACAATTTAATGGCGTTTCAACTAGTGGGTGATAGGTGACTGGAAAACGACGTCGGGCGCTCGTGTGACCCAAAAGTTTACGCGCACTTCTGGTCATGTTGTTTGCTCTCCGGTAATGCCGCACCTTCGATTTTGTAAGCCAACAGGGATGCATTTGTTACAAGTATTCCTGAAGCCATTTTTCGCTAGCGAGATATGAGCTGAGTTCTTTAATAATACCCCACTACGAAATGCCACTGAAATTAGGTTTGATCTATCAGTTTATCAGAACACCTTTATTTATTTCCCTATCTCCTAATAACACCTCAACTTCATGGCCACAAAGGCAAACACAACTTAACATATATATGGGTATCTATGCTTAATTTGCTAAATTTTATACTAAGTTTGGTAGGAATTTGCGAACCATTCCTAACTCATGCGCTCCAAAAAACTTGTTTGATCCTCTACGCTTTCCAGCTCTGCATTCACCTATTCAGACATAAACCGTTTAGACCTGACACAAATAGTTGCAGTGTGTTCACCTGCGTCAGTAACTTTTTAACCCACATAACCGTACCCCATAAGCAATATACTTATTGAAACTCCCCATGTGTACAATTTGGTGCTGAATTTGCATTGGTCGGAATATGTTTGACCTCTACATGGCCGATATCCTGGTTACCCTTTTCAAGTCAAGTCTGCTTACGGTGCAGCAGCTCCACGAAAAAGTCCACTCAGCTTGAGTTACTGGTGCACAATAAACTCCACACATAGAGCAGATCAGCAAATGTCAAAGCATTAGGGTCTTTGAAGCAAGATTCAAAAGTAGGATTGGCGAAAGAATTAACGCTTCACTACAAAGGAAACTGCGACGGATGCACAAAGCCAAGGATCAAACGGACTTTTGAAAACAGGGTCAATGTCTTAGTTGTGCAACCGAATTTACCAAACTAGGTGCAATCACAAAAAGGTGTAGATTTTGGCGAACACGATTCATGGTGTAGTGACATTCACTTAGGTAAATTCCATGACGAACGACTAATTTAATGCAGTAGGTTTATATGATTAGAGTCAAAAAATAATTTCGGACGCTTTTGTTGCATCTGGCAGTAGTCAAAGAGTGCACTGATTAAAACCCATCAAATGCTTCACTCGAGCTAATAGGAATGATTCAAACGACAAGCGAGCCTTTAATTTGCAGTCGCCATTCGTGGGGCCAATCAGCACGTGATCACGTGGGGTGCATTACATGATTGGAAGATGCTCAGCTGTGTACCCAGTTTGGGTGCCGTAGGTACACTAGTGTTCAAACTGTCGTGTGGCTAAGCGGTTCGGCCTTTACATTCTATTAGGCCTGTGAGAATGTAATGCCCAATAAGAATGAATGATCTTCAGCATGCTCCACGGGTTTTCGTTCAGAGACTTCAGATGCAAGATGGAAACCCTGTTGAAATCCTTACATCGCCTATAGTACTAAAAATTCTGTGACAGTTGGTATTTTTCGTTGGATACTCATCAGCTTTGATCTATGTAGATAAAAATTTTCGGCGGTGCAAATAACATCTGATTTTTTGCGGTAAATTCATTTTAATGTGTTTTTTGACGGGTTCTGACATTCAGCTATAAAAAGGCTGACAGAGGTTTTTTAAGGAAAACACCTACGTTAAAAAACTAGCCCACATTCTCAGTAAACCACACACAGAGTCCAAAGTTTATTCAGATGATCCATCTGTTTCCAATGGCCCGGATAACTAATTTCCAACACGGCGGGTATATTAAATCCCTCACCCTCCTAGAGTAAGTACCGGTGAGCTAGATAACAATATTTTCCTGGTTCTACATGTCGGAAATCATGTGCAGCGACTTATCCCATAAAATTAAACCGGCTCTGGTGACGTAACGTTGAGGAGTGCTTCCGTTCGCTTGAGTGAAGATTTACAACCTATGCTGCCCATCATTCTCCCACACAAGCACAGTCGCAGTGCTGGCTGGCATCTAGCCACCGCATACGCAAGGATACGTTAAAATAGTACACTGGCTAACACAAGACGACAGAATGGATACCCCGGTTGGTACTATTGATAGAACGCATGAGTGAAATTCTGCTACACTGGGTGCCTTCATTATGTATTTAATAATTCTAATAATGCCCGCTCCAACCCTTCTTCAGCATAGTCAACGGCAACAACGACTGGTTTGATGGCGTCCGTAATAATAAAGTGAAGGCAAATTGCAAATTGGGGTACTTTTTCCTCCAGTGAGTTTCGGAATATTTCACTGGCTTTGCTTTCCGCGATTTTTTGCAGATTACTATGCATTGCTATGCATAGCTAATCTATCTCCCGAAAATGTCATATTATTCGTTGAATTTACTGTCTAAATGTATTTGGAAAATTAGCTTAAAACTTTTTTTCAAGATTTGAATAAAAGTTCGGCTTTGTATTCTAAATCAGGTTAGAATTGCCTTTTCTCCACGCGTGCACGGAAGTGCATGCTTGAGTTACACCTTCAGATTCAAACTGGCGTCACTCTAAAACATATGGGAAATATTCACGCCGTTCGCCAAGCTAAGTGAGACAAATTAGAACAAGTTTACCGGTATTTTTGTCTACATAGTGCAAAAATGCATATAATTTACTTTGAAATAGTGTACCTTCAACGGTACAATATGTGGGTACTTCATTTTTGTCTGGCAGATGAATTTTGCATCAAATTAGGACATGCTTAATTTATACAGGTTGGCGGGTGGAATTTCGTTGGTTGCTATAAAAAGGCGTTATGTATGATTGTCATCAACAGCCGGTCGTTCCGGTGCCTGGCTAATATGCCACGTGAAGGAAGCATGAGAGTCGGGATAACGCCAGGTTGCCCAGTGGTAGTCGATAGGTAGAAGTCGGGGTCGAACTACAGAGCTGCCAGTCAGCAAACGTGCGCTCTAAACACTGAGATATCTCTCCAAAACTTTAATAGACGCTCTAAAGTATCCTCTACTTGAAACAACGGTACTGCGATGCCTTACAACGTTGAAATCCCAACTGAGTACACTGGTTTAGAGAAAACGCGTTCCTTAAATTTGTACCCAGCCTTTCACAAGCACACTATGAAAATATTGCACCTGCGATTGTATCCCTGGCTGCATCCTTGAGAAAATCTCCTTAGGCTGTTTCCTAGACTCTAACTAAAACTGAGTATTCATTCAAAGAATGTCAATTCAGTGAACTTTATAAATAAACTTGAACTTGATGTGTAATGACAAAAACAAAGCGTGGATAAGTAAAAGTCGCAACATTGTTACATGGAAAGAAGCTTCAGGAAGGAAACGGCTGATGGGCCTGCTGCATACGAACACTTACAAGGAAGGATGTTTTATTTGCTTAGGCACACAAAATTTCAAAATCCAAAATACCTTCAGTGTCTAGACAATGTAGTTATCCCCACTCCGTGCAATACCTTTCGAAACTACGCAGCAACTCCAACTGGTGTTTATTCAGCAACAATGCGGCGGTCTGTTATCTGCATACCACGTTGACCGTTTCTGATGGCATAGAAACTGGGATTTTTGTCTTGGAAAGTGCATTTTTGTAGAGGAGGGTTGTGGCCGAATATTCTTTGCTCATGATAGCGCAGCCCAGGAACTTTTCCGGGACCAACATACCCGTTTTTTTGTATTTAGCTTACATGGCATTTTTGTACAGAACACTATATAAGTTTTTAGCCAAAATTTTCAAAGCTCTCGGATAAATAGTGCGACAACAATCAATCTCGCAACAGTCACCATTCAAATATTAAACAGTGTGTGAATATGTTTGAATGGGTAAGAGGCAAGTTGTTTTCCAGTAGACAGCACCACGTGCTTCACGACAAAATATAACCGGAAAAAGTTTTATCGCAATGCTGAAAAGTAAAATGGTGGTATACCCTCGGAATCTAGAAGATGGAAAAGGATAAATTCTCGCGCTTCTTGGAAGAAACCTGGCACCGGATTGAAGATACCAGAACCTTGTTATTTCAGACTGAAGCACGCTTATACGTAGGTTCGCTTCAGGTTCTGGAATTCGCGCTGCAGATAAACTGCCGAAGTCGTCACGGACTCCCTCCCAGCAAATGCTCATTTGATGATACCGGAAAGACAGTTCAATAAACCTATGTCAAAGTCAGTGTATAAAGTAAGATTTTGGTAACTTTGAGTTATACGACAATAACTCAGAACTTTACTCAAAACCTGAGTATGGCCTACCTGAATCTCATTACGAGCTGTGTATATATCTCACATGCGCTTAGACCTGACATTTTTGCAAAATTCATTGAATATAAGCAGGACTACTCGCGGATAAC